CGGGTCCCGGGTGGCCTCTAGGTTTGGCGAGAGCTTTGGGGAGACGAGGGCAGAAGCGGCTCCTGGAGCACCAGCGCGGGGAGAGGAGAGTCACTCGCCAAGCCAAGCCAAGCCAAGCGGGGTCTGCTCAGGGCGGCGGGGGAGGGTTAGTCACCCCCCTTAACATCTCCGGGAAGCTTAAACGGGAAGGGCCACCCAGCGACGTGGGCGCGGGCACCGTCGGTGTCCTGATGACGCCCAGCTTTACGTTGCCACCCCAGGCCGCTCTGGCATGCGGAGGCTGCGGGGGTCTGAGCGAGAGACGCCCGCAAGACAAAAGTCCTGCTTGTCCATCGGGGCTCTCGGTCTGCTCCAGTGTTGTTGTCGCTCTCCCTGAAGGGCAAGTCTGTGACTTGGGCTCCTTTTGGACTAACAGCTCCTGCAAGAACAGCAGGTAGCGGCTGTGGCCAAAGGGGCTTTGTTCAGCTTTGCCTGGTACGCGAGTTGTGGTCCTGCCTGGGGCAGGAGATCTTGTCCCAGGGCCCTCACCTCCACCTGTTTAGACTGCTGCAGCGTTGTACGTGGGGGTGCCTTTGAAGACCACTCAAAGGCTGCATTTGGTTCAGAGCGCAGAGGCCCATATGCTAACTGGTGTTCGCCAGCAGAAACACTTTATGCTGCGGGCTCTACACTGATTACCAGTGGCTCCCGGGTGCAATTTAAAGTGCTGGTGTTAATCTATAAAGCCCCACATGGCTTGCCACCAAGTTATGTGCTGGGCCACATTCTTCTGTTGGAATTGGCCCAGCCAATTTGATTTACCTGGTAGTGGTTCTCCCCTTTGGGGGGGGGGGGGCAGGGCTCAGCAGCACTGCTTTTTGGAGGCAGTGCTGGTCCTTTGCAGTGGTCTTCCGGTGGACATCAGTTCACAGCTCTTCTGGAGAGCATTTGGGTTGTGATTCCATCTCGTTGGATTATAGTTTGGCTTTGTTCCTTAATTGCATTCTATGTTTTTTAAATTGATTTGATATATATTTTATAATCTATTTCATTGTGCATTTTTTCTTGAAACTGCCAAGAGTACTTCAGAATTGTAGTAGTCTACAAATGTGATTAATGAATAAGTAAATGTGGTCTGAGAGAGAACACAGCCCGAGCTTGTATCTCTTCATGATACTTACTCATTCTTTCGCCTTCCCTTCCAGACAGAATGATGCGAGGCTCTAAGAGCAGGGTGCGCCATTGCTAAAGGCAAAGACTGAAACATGTCTTATCGAGGGAATGAGCGTGACTTTCAAACCTCAGCACGGAGGATGGGGACATCCCTGCTTTTTCAGCTGTCAGTCCATGAGAGGGAACTAGACTTGGTCTTCTTGGACCACAGCTATGCTAAGCCATGGAGCGCCCACCCTGATGCCAGTAATGCCCGTCCCACACGCCTGCTGTTTGTCACTCCCAGGCGACATCAGGATAATAGCGCTATGTGAGTTGTCTCTTTCTTTCCCTGCCTTTCATTTTGAGCTGAACATTTAATGGAACCAACACTTGACTAGACCATGTTGCAGATCTCTCTTTCCACATGTTATTTTGAGTACATGTTACTGGTGTGCTGATTTTCTTCAAGCTGCCAAGCCATTAAAGAGGAACAGAGGGTTACAAAATGTTTTTCTTGAAACTCCAGTATCTCTTTTCAGAGAGGCAGATGTTCCTATTGACGTAGAAACAGTGACACCTACACCGGTGCCCCTCTATGACAACCAGAAGGCCCGAACTGTGATGAATGAGTGTGAACGCCATGTGATTTTTGCCCGTACAGATACTGATACACCTCCTCCACCTGATGACTGGGAGGAGCATATGAACAGGTATGAACATGAGTGGCGGGAGGCATGGAGGAAAATCGTTATAAGTGCTGATGTTGTCTCTACCTTGATGGTGCTGTTTCTAACCCTGCGTATAATTTGGGATGATATAATATTAGACTTTGTAAATTAATTTTGAATTCCAAAAGATTCTTCTAGTCATCTCAGATTATACTCTGAACTACTCGTAGTTCTAACCATGTTAATAAATGATCCATGGTTCAGTATAATAATGACAGTGTACGATGAGTAGCGTATAATTCCACCCAAACCACACTAGACTGATAATGTGCAGTTTTATGCCGTTTATTTATGTGAATGAACATGTATGAAAGGTGGAGTATTGAGACTCACTCAGCACAGGCCAGAGAAGCAGGAAGGTTTGGTCGGAACACTTTCATCCTCCACAGCAAATGGAAAAGTAGCAGTAGGAAGAGTTTGAACTGAAACCACAACAAAAGGTGGTTCTCAAAGCACAGATAGTTTCCATGTGAATTGATGAGGCAGTGGCATTCCAGTTGGAAATGTACCAGAGGTGTGAGAAAATGCCAGGATAGACTGGTCAAGCCTTGTTGGAAGATATAAGCATCCGTGGGAACTGTAGTCCTGGGGCGCCATCACACAGAAGAAGCATTTTGTATTTCGGTCCCACCCTGACTCTTATGGAGCTCAAACTTAGCCTAGCTAGCTAGACTCTGAACTAGGGAGGCCTGCATGGGTATATGAATGAGCGGAGCTTTTGATTCAGAATGCGATCAGTGAAAGTTGTAAACCTGCTTTTGTTATGTTTGAGTCTGTAAATTAAAAAGAAAACAAATAGTACTGGAGGTGTTTGCCAGCCCTTGGTGTGAGAATCGTTCCTTAATTATTCTAGGTCAGCAACTAGTAGTTGTGAAATTACCAAGAAATTTTCAGGGGCATAAGTGTATTTGTCTTTGGCAACAAAAACAATAATGTATGCTCTAGCAATTTAACCTTTAAAGCAGTCAACGGCTTAGGATCAGGTTACCTGAAGGAGTGTTTTCTCCCGTATATACCTACCTGGACCTTAAGATCTTCTAACAAGACCCTCTTCCAGGTCCCCTCCCACAAATAAGGTGAGGTGGGTCTTTCCAAGGGAGAAGTCTTTTTCTGTGATGGCACCCCATTCATGAAATTCCCTCCTCAAGAGAGGCTGAACTGGTACCCACATTAGAATCATTTGGTTCCAGGTGAAGACCGTTTTATTTTCCATTATTTTTAATCATATTCTAATTGTATTCATATTGTGTTAGATTTTGATGCCTGCCTTGCTGCTGCCTTTAGTTTATATGGTGTTTTTATTTTGTATTTTATTTGATTTTATTCAATATGTTTTAACTCAAATTGTATTATTTATTTTTTGGTGTATTTATTATAAATGCCCAGAGAACTTCAGCTATTGAATAGTCTAAGAATTTAAATAAATTTAAAAATATAACTTTATTATTGTATAACGGTGGATTCTACCCTGTAAAAGCTAAAAAAGAGTTTGTTTTACAAAGGTACTAGAAATCTTGAGAAGAGATTCATTTCATTTCCATTAGGCATATGTGAAAGAAGTTTTTTAATGCATCACTCCCAAATTCTACAATTATTATTAGCCCTTACTTGATTTTTTTGAAAAGACGTAAGAGTGGGAGTATTTTAAGGGGGTATTTCAATCCCTTTTTGCATCTTATTGTTTTACTATTTTTAAGGGGGCTTTAAGGTGTGTGTTCCCCCCCCCCCCCGCCATTTTGCACTACTTTGGTGGCTTTCTAAGAGAAAAAGTGGCATAGAAACCATAAGAAAAACATTACTTGCCTGTAACTGTGACCCTTCAAATCATCTGTGATTTCACAGATGCAACTTCTGTGCCTGCACAGTAACTCAGATCAGAGTGTGAGCATTTGGGTGAGAGCCCTGCCCACATCAAACCATTTTGTATGAATGGTGGAATTCTTGCCAACTGCTGACTCCCCCCAGGCTTCGAAACAGCTGTGCGGTCCAAGAAGGGAGAAGAGGCAGGTTATGTGAAAGAATATGGAAGATCGTTCAGAAAATCAATTATAAGTAAATAACCGTTTCTTCTCTGGGATTCTCACGTTGCTCAGGGGAAGGCTAGGCTGTAGAGTCTTGCTCCCACGGTCGGGGGCCACTGCATCAGCTCCTGCAATTTTGAGCTGCTCTTGGGGAACAAGTTGTGAAAGCCCTGATGGGGTCCTGGTTTAGACACCCTGTTTTGGTTATACCTAGTCCTAGTCTCTGAAAAAACATGGTAGGGAATTCCTGAGACAAGAAAGGCCTGTTGGTAGCAAGGGGAGTTTGCCACCAGCCCTCTTACCTTGAGCAGAGTGAAATACAAGAAGCACTACTGACCATTGGCTGAGGTGACGTGAGATCTCTGCCCTTTCGAGCAATGCTTGAATGGGGGCAGAGAGGCTCCTCCCCAAAGGTTCAGGCTGTGCCATGTGGCAGTCTGAGATAAAGAACCCCTGGGTATGAATCACAATGAAAAAATAAGGAACATCATAACTGTCTGGTGGGATCTAGCAATCAAGAAGGTGGGTACTTGGTGGCTTTGGGTAGGCTTGGGGTAGCAGGTAAGCTCTCAAAATGATGCAGAAAGAGAAGATGGCGGCTCTTTGCTCCCCCACCCTTTCCCCTGGCTTGCAGCTGAGCACATTCAGTGGCTCATAGTCTTTAATCAATTCAGCCACAGGCTTTATGTTCAGACATAGAACAATCTGCATGTTCACCAAAAATGTTGGGTGATCATCATGCTTTGGGAGAGGAGGTATTGGGGCACATAGATGTATGAGATGTTTTATTATGCGGTAGCAAACTCAGATTTGTTTCATATCAGCTGGTCTCTTGCCTGGAGATTTCAGTGCAGGAAAATGTGTGACTACCCATGTTGAGGTTGATATGTATATTACAGTCCATATGTAATATACATACACGTGCAGCTAAACCGGTATCGTGTTGATGATAGGCATGTACTTAGCCTCTGTCAGAACTTCAGTCAGAGATCCCATAAGAATGTTAACATGTTGGCTTTGTCAAACTTCATGCCAGCCATGGCAGTATATCCCCAGATATTTAGCCTAATATTCAGGAATGTGCTTATAGCAGAAGCCTCACAACCATGATAGGTTGCTTCATTACAGGCAATGAAGTATGAGTATGTATATGCAGAAGACCTGTCTGTTGCAGAATGCAGAAATTAAGTCCTTTATAAATGTTTACTCCAGGATTAAAATTCTAGTCTTTTCCTTCCACTTTTCCCATCAGAGGAAATGTCACTGTCTCTTGCTTGTCTAGAAGTAAGAAGCCTTGAAACTGGAAGATGTGTGCTCACTGTTCATATCATAGTTCTGTCTAACCTGGGAAATTGCTGGTTCCTGCCTCACCAGCTGCAGGCCTTACAGTTCCGTCTATGGTGGAAGAAATACCATAGATATGAATGTACTAAATAAATCAGTACAACTTAACGTATACCATAAATACCATAAAAAAATACCATAGATATGAATGTACTAAATAAATCAGTACAACTTAATAGCTGTGCTACTTTGGAGATGGTATTTAAATGGAAAATTCTTCACTGCCACCTACATGTGTGTGGCTGTGTGCATGCATGCACAGACTTAACACGAGCTATGAAGAGGAGAGGGGGACGCGGTGGCGCAGTGGCTTAATGACGCTGAAAGTTGCTGGCCAGAAATGGCTGACGCTTCGGCGGTTCGAGTCCAGCCTTCGCGTTAGCAGGGTGAGCTCCTGTTTCCTCCCCAGTTCCTGTCAACCCAACAGGTCGAAAACTCACGTGAGTAGATAAATGGGGACTCTCACTCCAGTGGGAGGAAAAATGCTGGGGGCGCTTGCACGGGAGTCGGGAGCAGTTGCCAGTAAGCGCGAAAAACCGTGCATGCCCGAAAAGGGCGCGAAGCAACAGAAACCCCACCTCCTGCGCTCGCCAGCTGGGCTCTGCTCTAGGAAGGAGGCTGTGGCAAACCACTTCCGAAAAACAATTGCCGTGAAAACTGCA